AGGTAAAGTATAAAAAAATATATTATATGACATCTTAAAATAAATAAGTAAATTTAAATATCATAAATTAAAAATTAAATATATTAATATTTAATAATAAATTAAATTTTTTTAAAAATAATAAAATTTAAATTATAATATTAATTATTGTAAATTAAAATTAGAATCTTACTTAATGTAAATTGAAATTTCATATTAGTTAATTATTACATTTTACGAAAATTTTGAATTTAAAAAACATAATGTTGTAAAAAATAAAAATATATATACTATATTTAACATTTTTCAAAAGTTTAAGGAAATTCTGTTAGTCTATGTAATGGAATGTTTGTCAAATAGATTATTTTGTAATAAAATTGATAGTTTATAGATAATTTAAAAAAAGTTATTTTTAGAGTAAACTAAAATAAATCACATAATTAATAAATTATTTATTAAATTTAGTCAAATTTATGGCTTTAAAAGCTGTTATTTGAAGGGTGACGAAAAATCAATACCAAAATGACATTCTCTCCCTCTCTCTGCTGTTATATAGGAATTGACCATTTTTCCCGGTTTTTCTAATTTTAGCTTTAAGGATGTGTAATTAATGTATTTTTTTATATTAATTATAGTAGTATTAGAAAAATAAAAATTAATCTTTATTTAATTAATGAACAAAACTCTTATTTGCACCCTCCATTTATTTTCTTTTCGCAATCAACATTTTACAATATTTGTCTTCTCAATTAGCATTTTTCACTTTTTCAAACCCGTGAAAAACTCAATATTTTAACGGGCCATCATATAAATGTTAATAATTATTAAAAAATACAATACATGACACCCAAATAATGATGTGTGCGTTATGTGGCGTTATTAATCCAATATGGGCCCTTTTTTGATGATGTGGCATAATTATATGTGCAATGCCTCCTACCAAAAAAACAAAAACTAGAGTAGGGAATTAAATGAATTAAAAAATAATTAACTTTAATTTGTTCATCTTCTTTCTCCTTATTCTTATCCTCCTCCTCATCCTTGGCATCATCTTCACCATCTTCTTCATCATCCTCCAAAGCTAGGTTCATGGAACCTAGAGCTAGGTTCATGGAACCTAGAGCCAGGTTCCTTGTGGAACTTGAATTATAAATTAAAACCCTCTTTTTTTTCTTTTTGAATGTATCTATCTTAGTTTCTTGTTTTAGGCAAAGCAATTTAGAATAATTTTCTTGTTGGAAAGGTGAGTTTTTTTGCTTGGAGATTGTTTTTAGACAAGTTGCCAATTTGAGTTCAAGTGGGATTAACATAAATGGCAATAACGATTTCTTCATTTTTTGTGGGAAAGCGATGGAAAATGCAGATAATGTCTTTGTCCAATATTCATTTACTTATAATTGTGTGGATGAAGATCTGAGCTTGGAGGGACATTCACGTGAAACTGAGTTTCACGAGCAACTCAAAACTTGGGTTCATGGAACCCAACAATTGGGTTCCACAAGGAACCTAGGAGGATGATGGAGAGGATGGTGAAGATGATGTCAAGGATAAGAAGAAAGAAGAAGATGAACAAATTAAAGTTAATTATGTTTTAATTCATTTAATTCTTGTTCTAGTTTTTTTTTTTCTTTTGGTTGGAGGCATTGCACAAAAATTATGCCACATCATCAAAAAAGGGTCCACATTGGATTAATAATGCCACATATTATATTTTTTAATAGTTATTAACGTTCATGTAACAGTCCATAAAAATATTAAATTTTTCACATATTTGAAAAAGTGAAGGGTGTTGACCAAGAGGAAAAGTTTTTGAAAGGTGCTGATTGTGGAAAGAAAATAAATGAATGGTGCAAATAGGGGCTTTAGCCCTTCATTAAATTGTTCAATTAAATTCTCACTGTTTTAGTGATGAAATTAAAGTGTGCAATTTGTTAATACTAATTAATGTAAAAAAGAATGCGTAATCAATAATTTTAGTTCACAAGTTAAAAATATTAAAAAAAAATTTTATTTATAAAATTATATGTGTTTATTTATTTAATAATATTATAAATTAAAAAAATACATATCGGTCTCAATTATTATAAATAATTAAAGTGCTAACCTTAAACTAATCATTTTGTTTAATTAAAATTTAATTCAAAATTTAAAAATTATCTTCGTAAATGTTAATATTAATATTTAAAAATTGATTATATTAAACTATATAATGCATTCTATTTAGGATAAAATTAAAAAATTTATAAAAAATTATTTTTTATTGATCCCTCTAAAATTCAAACTTTTAACAAGCTTGGGCAACATAAATTGTTATCTTAACTGCTAGACTTACATTTTTTTAGTAATATAGCTTGTTATCTTAATTTTACATGAGACATTAGAATATAGTATTTAAATCTAATTAAGAAAATAATTGATACATCCTACAAAATTATAAATAATTAGGATATTCTGTAAAACTATACACTAATTATTTCAATTACTTATATCATTAAAATTGACGGTTTTTGTTACTTATATCGTTAAAACTGACGGTTTTTGTTACTTATATCGTTAAAACTGATAATTTTCATTATACACTAATAGATTTCATCAATATGTAACAAAATGTATAACTATATAAGATATATATATCATTATACCTTAAGTTATCCTACGTGCGAGCAACAACACCTTTACCGTGACGTGAGACGAGAAAATTTTCAATCAGTTATGTGTGGAGGAGCTTGACTAATTCGTGATTCTGACCCCTAAAAATCTTGATATCGGTGACTTTGTCATAATCAACTTCAATTTTAATAAATTTCCCCACCATCCCCAACTTCAATTTTAATTATATTACACTTTATTTGGTGCCTCGCCACTTCGCATGTGATTCGATAATGACAATTTCACGATAGAGCTGGTGCGGCTCTGTCAAACCAACCAATAATGAGAGTTTATTGGGAAAAAAAAAAAGTTTTGCTGAAACATTGACAGCATTTTTCTTTTTTTTTTTTAGTTTGGCCTACAAGAAAATAAAATGTCTGAAAATATTATCTGCATCAACTATCACTTTTTGTTGTTATTACTATTGCATTGGCTCCGACGAAGGCTGTGGAAGGATCAGTGGTGGAGCTAGGAATTTGTTTTAGGGGAGGCCAATTGCAAAATTATAAAAGAAGAAAATTAAAATATCAAATTGTATGTTAACTTAAAAACATTGAATAAGATGGATTTTGCTAGAGTTATAACATAAAAAAAGGAAACTAAGATTTTTATTATAAAAACTAAAATCACATGCCTTAAGTTTATAAATATTACTTAAAATTTATGTAATTACTCATAGATTTTAGTTTCAAACAAAATCATCATTACAATATATTAATATAAATTAACCAATAAAACTAAAATGTTTTAAAGATTTTTTTTTTTTTTTGCACATTAAAGATTAATTGCACATTACAAAGGTTTATACTATTGTAACTCAAGATTGATAACTTAGTGGGTGTTAGATACCAATTCAGTCAAATTTTTATTAATGAAGATATTTTAAATAATTAACATACCAAATTCTAGTCATTTGTATTATGAAGATATGATTAGAGTTTATGATCCCATGCTATTAGATAATTTTCAATAAAATTGATTATTGCATTTGTACCCAAATTAATTCTAGTCATTTGCAGGGTGTAATCCTTAGTTAGGGGATAAAATAGCCCACATGATACAATTATTTAATAACCAATTAAAATTATGATAACAATTAGAGATATTATAGAAATTAAAATTTTACATAATTTATAAGTGGCGGTCTTATACACTAAAAAAAAAGAACTTACCATTCACCTATAATCAACTACATGTACAAAATAAAGAAAATTTTATCTTTTCCTTAAATATTATCAAAGAAAAATAAAACGTGAAACATAATAATACAAAGT